TCCTAGTTGTACTGTATGCTGTCACTTATAGGAGAGGGAAAACACCCGCCCACTGATTGTTTCGGACTGACACACCTGGGGGCTGAGTTTCATTTCCAAACAGCTTTTTCCTTCTCCTAAGTCTTCGTTTCTCATTGCCTCCCCACTACTTCTTTCTTTGCTTCCCATCTTATCCACTGCTCTGTCTCCAATCTTTATCTGCTCCTGACTGAAAACAGAGAGGTGTAACCATCGATCCATCCTCAGTGCTGCTTTCCCCATCCCTGCCTCTTCAGATTAGTGGAAGTAACGGGAGAGGAGGCAAAACAGACAGAGGGAGGACAGAAACAAGGCCACTGCAAAGTGCAAGCCCTCTTATTAATCATTTTGTATGAATATTAAGTGTATAAAAATTATTTCAATTTGCAAATACAATTTAAGTGAGAAAGATTCTGCACATGGGCACAATAATGAGAAGTGAAATAAAAGGACATGTTAAAAGACAGGTGGCCAACAATACCAATATGCATGAGTCAGGTTTTCATGTACCTGACACAGACATGTATACAAATCTGGGAAAAAGCCACGAATTGCAGGACTGACTGGACGAGCTATCTAGCAAACATTAACTAGTCTTTCAATAATATCGACACAGAAAAGAGGCTGTGTTCATCCAATGGAAGGGAAGTGACTTAATGAAAATGCCAGGAAGTGAAATCTCTTGATAATTCAATTACAAGAAAATATTTTGTATCTCTTTTTAAGGAATTGGTTGAAACACATCATCCATCATTGGTAAAAAATAAATGAATTTTGAGTTTATGTAGTGAAAAGAAAGCTGATCCCAGCCTTGCCTGGCTTGTATTGTTCTCAGCTAGTTGTCATTCAATATCAAAAAAATATTTCTTTTCCAAAAATATCTGAGGACAACTCTGTGGGGTCCTGACCATATAGTTTTGGCAGTTTGATTACATGTACAGGGATGCAATCAGGAGCAACAGCCACGTAAAGGCAGGAAACAAGATGGGGAAAAGGCAGGAAAACACGAATCTGTAGGAGACATGACTGGGCAGCTTTGACTCCCAAATCCCAAAAAACCCTAAAGAAAAACTGTCAAATCACATCCACGGAGCAGCTCGACACAGGCTGCGCACGATGTTTAGTTCTGTACATTTTACCATTACACCTAAATTTTAATTTAATCCCACCAAGCATGCTAAAAAAATGATTTGTGGTCCTAAATCCAGACCTGCTTAAAAATTAATACCTTTCAATCGGCCTACCACGGCGGTAAGTGTAGAGTATTGTGGTTGACAAGGCAGCAAGCAACCCAAAAACACTTGAGACGCTCAGGTTCAGTAAGAACTGCCCCTTTTTGTCTCAAACCCGTTGCTTGCAGCGATGAATCTCAGTCTGAGCAACTCGTTGTTCAACAAAACACAGATGTTTTGCCACAGCGCTGTCGCTCTGCATGACAGAAATCCTCCTTGGCTTGGACCTTTGCACCTACCGGAGAATCAGAGAGGGGTGGTTTCGGCCACTGCACCACTGTCTGTCTGTTAGGAATACAAATGACTTCGCGGAGTCAAAATGATCAGTATTTCATATCTTCCAGTCCTCGATATTTCAGCATAAATCCTGATACCAGCTCCTAAAACACACCCCCGCCTATTGCATTGGCGTTAACCCCATTGTCTGTGTGTGTGTGTGTGTGTGTGTGTGTGTGTGTGTGTGTGTGTGTGTGTGTGTGTGTGTGTGTGTGTGTGTGTGTGTGTGTGTGTGTGTGCATGTACATGTATGTGTATGTGTGTTACCCCCTTTAATGCTAAGCTAGCTCAGCTAACAGTGGGCTATTCCCACTCAGTCCGCCTCCAAGAGAAGATCAATACTCACCCGCTTCAGCCCTGGAGCCCGACCGCACCTACTCTCCGTAACCGAGCACCTTTACCGGCCAGTATGTTTGAATTTTACACATACACACGCTGATATCAGAGCCGGCTTGGTGGCTGTATCTCTCCGGTATGAGTCTCTCTCTCTCTCTGTCTGTTTTTGTCCACAACAGCGCCGTGCCCGGTTGTTGGCGTCCACTGACGTTAGCTGGTAGCACTGCTGCTGCTGCTGCTGCTGCTGCTGCTGGAGCCTGAGCTTTTCCAACATGGCTGCAGCTGGCAGGGCTAACTGACAGGAGGAGAGGGGCCCTACGTGTCCAATACTAGTACAAGGGTCCCCACATGTTTTTGTTTTTTTTATGAAAGACCCGCATTTCATAATAGCCTCCACATGATGTGATGAAGGGCAAAGCTATCCAATCTCAGTTTTACCCAAACTCATGACCTTACACCTCACAGTATGTGATCAGATTGTGTTCAGGGGCTTTGTAGTGGTTCATCAGGGAATGATGCTCTTCTGGAAATATAAATATTGCCCGGGTTACGTAACATGAGAAAATGTAATTGTCAGAACACCTGCCTCCGCCTACAGTACCATTTCTTTTTGTTTTAATCTCTCATATTTATCCAATTCCTGATTTAATGTTTTAGCACGATTGAGGATACACAACTGAAAGACCCTGTAGCATTATAGATTACTGAATGAATATTTTTATATTACATTGTAACGTATATTATACACTATTTTATTTGAGTATCAAGGTTCAAGGTTACTTTTATTGCTCTACAAAGTAATGGAAATGACATTGCACACATCCCAATCAAACCATCACTGATTACAGAGCATAAGAAATACCCATAGCATTAACTGTAAACAAAAAAAAGAGCTGTAAAAGAACCATTTAAACAACAGGATAACAAAGTAGAACTAAAATGAAACATACTAATTTCATACACCAGCGGGGTGCCATTGCTAACATGGATTTACATGACACTATTTGAATTACATCCAGGGGTAGGAGAAAATATATGAAAAGTACTACACCTATGTGACCATATAACATAGTATATCAAATATAAACATAACATATTAAATATAAAACACTTTCAAAGATTTATGGTAAGCCCTCAACAAAAACTGGGATGAGTCAAGCTTTGTGTAAACACATACTGAAGTATACATTTATTTGATTTTATTTTCCAGGAGGTGTGTGTACACGCTGGGAGGGGTTGTCAGAGCAGCATTCTTTCACAATACAGTCTACACAGTGTGAAAGTAGACCTGTCATTGCCACTGTCAGATTATCACATTGTCTGTAATAATGGCTGTTTGCCTCATTGGTGATGGAGTTGAATAAAAAGTTGTGTAAACTGAGTTGCAGATAGTGATCAAAAGTGCCACGCTGGAGGTAAGGAGATAAAAGTAGTGGGGGGCACTAACATCAATGAACAAAACAGTCATTATCTCACTGTGCGACACTCTGCTGGGGAAAGCTGAAATTAAATTGCTCTCCATTTTGTCCATCCCACTTTGGGCGAGTAATCACTGTGCTGGCAGAGCAGTCATCAAATCGACCTTACAATACTTCTACCAGTACAGATGGAAATTTGCAGGATTTAGTGGAATTTTATAGTGGAGCCCAATGTAGCGAAGCAGAGTGTAATAATAGGAAACAGAAGATACATGTAAGAAACCACGGTCGTGCTAGAGCTGGTGTCTCATGTTTAAATGAAATCTTAAGAGATTTCTGCCATGTATTATTCATCATAGTATCATAATGTAAGCTAAACAAAAGAGGCTTTGAAATAAAGATGCACCCCCAGCGCACACACACACACACACACACACACAAATAAAATTATTGTGACTTTGATGCTGACTGCCATTATGCTGTCTTGAATCTGTGTGTCTCCACTATCTCACAGTCACAGCTCAAAACAATCCATCTACTGACAGCCTACACACACAGTCCTGCCTACACACACAGTACATTCATGCATGCAGCTAATATCCATACGCACACATATGCATGCAGACACACTCTCAATTCAAAGATAATTTTTATTCACACAGAAGAGTGATGCAAATTATGGTGCGAGGGAGGGTAACACTTAAGTGGATTAAAACACATGACATCATAGTTACATCGTATCCGCTGGGCCACCAGTGTACCCCACATTTACACATTTGGCACTCAGACAGCTTGGCAGCTGTTGGGAAAAAACATATTATTTTATTGTCAAATTATTCTGTTCTGTATAATTAAACAGGATGGGAGAGACAGGGAAGCTTGAGCCAGTTGCAAACCACAGGCCTGCAGTGTACTGTAGTAGAGAGCTTGATGTTGTGTATCACTCATATTTCTCCAACTGGTGAGGAGCAGTGGCTTTAGTGTTTATTTGCCAAAAACTCAAATATCTTGGTTTACACTTGATCTCTTATTTTGACATGTGTGCCATATAATTCTTGAAATGAAATGAAATGAAAAATAATTAAATGCAGGATGAATGAATAGAAAAGAATGGTATATGAGTGCATGTCAGGGATGGAAACAAACTATTATACAATGCACTTTAATCCACCCTTGTGGGAAAGGACGAGGCTAACTATGACCCATAAGTGATATTAAAAAGATCCATAATGCTGGGATGGATGAGTGGTATTAAAAAACTAGCAGATGCTGGACAGAAGTTGCATTTCAGTTTGATTTGAATGTGCAATCAGTTAGGATTGATTACAACATGCATAGACTGACCCAGTAGAGGCAGACTTGATGATATTCACAGAAGAGAACAGAGGAGGGTATAGAGCTCCATCTAGTGGCTAAATCAAAGCAGTACGGTCTATCTATCTATCTATCTATCTATCTATCTATCTATCTATCTATCTATCTATCTATCTATCTATCTAAATCACAATCACTTTGCAAAATTGCTTATTGATCACCAATTTTGAAGATGTAATACCGCCTTATGTGTTTGAAACCCCACAGAATCACAGTGGTGTTGATGTTATATATAAACCTGGTGATTTCTTTGGCCTCAGTAAAATCAGTTCATTCCAGAGAGGTGAGATAGTTCTGTTTTTCATCCCTGGTGTGAATAAATGAAAACTGCAAGCTGCTTGTTTACAGTAAAATGTTTAATCACTGATTGAAAGCACTTACATAGCACTTACATGAAGTCATCTGTTTTAAGGATTGAGTTGAACGTTTGCTTATACACAGAACACCCAAAGCAAGTCCAATTTAAAACACATTGTGAACTAAAATGTACTGTATGTTCATAACACATTCCTGATATCAATAATACACAGCTGTGACAGTTGCATAAAATCAATACACATTCCTACAGTTATGAATATCCAGTTTTCCCACTTGGAAATATTGTCTCTTTACATAATGATTATACATGAATGAACCATTGAATTTTAGATTAATACATGACACCTTAAGGACTCAATTTCGAAAGAATACAATTCAGTTTCCACATATAGTGTTTTATCATTATGATTAACAGAGAATGAGGAAGTCAGCAGATCAGTGTCAAAGGGAAGAAAAGAAGAAGAAAAAAGTAAAGTAGACAAAGACAAATATATAAACGGGGAGAGAAAGAAAACACAGCAAAGACGAATACAGTTAAAGACATAGAGGAACAGTCAAGTGCAGGATAAAGCAAGGAAGAGGCTGAGTTGGTAAGGAAACGATACTTAAATTGATGATGGATAGGTACAGATACAGTGGGATGGAGAGAGAGAAAAGAGGGCTGCAAGAAAGTCATATGGAGGTATGTCCTGTGACCTTTCAGCTAGAGTTAGTGCAATTGAAAGGGCATTACCAAATGAAGAGGGATAGATAAGGGAAAGCAAAGGAAGCTTGTAGGATAAAGCTGGGTAGAGACAATGAGGTATAATTTGAATTAAGTGCATGGGATTTAGGGCAGGATGCACTCTAGTATGCCACTTCAGTGGACTTTGAGATGCTGTGTTCCACATTACTGTTGGAAATGCTATCCATGGAGACGTCAGTGTGCGAGCGCCCACGCTTCTCCTCGGTGGCATGTGAGTGTGTCCGGCCACGGTGCAGCTCGTTGGTGTGTGCGCGGCTCCGAGAGCCATCGAAGGATGAGATGCTGGAGCTGGAGGTTGTCCGTGAGCGAAGTCTGGTCATACTGGCACTGGACACTGGAGATAAGAGGAGAGACAGGTGAGAACTATTCTGCATCTACATATTCTGTAACCTTCACTGATCTTCAGAGACTATTCTTCCTGCAGAGACTACCTGCAGAATGTCAGATTAAAATAGTTTAAGGGTGAGTTATCGTTACTTACAGTATCCCATGCCCTGGATGAAATACTTGAGGGCTTCAGTCACTTTGCCTGGCTGTGAAAAGAAAGATGGAAAGTGTTAAATACATTTTCAACCGGGGGGGGGGGGGGGGGGGGGCAACAACAATGTTGTCAGCAGAATTGCAGAATTGCAGAATTGCCAATAAAATGTCACAGCCTACCTGATCCACCTGAGGAAGTCCTCCACAATCCGCCATCTAGAAAGGCAAAGCACAGTTCACTACAGTATAAGTTCATTCCGGGTGCACGTGTGCATGTGTGTTTTTAATTCAGTCAGTTGTCCGGTTACCTTGAGCAGTGTGGTCTTGGTGGGGTTGAGTTTAGAGTTGCAGTCAACCACAGCCTCCACAACAGGAGAATTATCTCCTACGACCAGCAGAGTGGTGCACCTGTGATACAGCAGATAGACAGGTGTTATAGGCAGAAACTTGCTGGCTCTTGCTGACAAATTGGTCCTGACTGAGTAAGTCCTGGTAGGTTAATTTCAGGCTTCTTCATTACAAACTGGTCACATTTTAAACTGGTTGTATGTTTTATGTATGTATATGTGTGTGTGTGTGTTACTAACTTGAGTGTCCTGACATTGATGTTTCCTCCAGGAACAGGCCTCTCCACCTCCAGAGCATTGCGGCTGTTGTAGGAGCGGAAGAACTGGATCACGTTGGACTGGTTCATGGTTGTTGTGATGTGGTGACGGTATGTAGCAATGAGGTCGTGGTTGTTCTGGATCTCATCCTGAAAAATCAGTTGGAAAGTAAGACACAGATATTCTGTGTTTGATATGTAACACTCACTGGATATTTGACAAAGTTTTTCAATGTATGTTTCAACATTTGTTGTCATGGTAACTGAAGCCAGTCATTACAGAGGATACCTCACCTTTCCAAACAGGTGTGAGATGACTGTGTCTGGAAGAGTGTGGGTCCACTCAGTGATCTATAAAACACACAAAACACACACACACAATGACATTAGTGAGAGGACTAACAAACTCGCTACTCTTCCTGTTGTCGAGACAAATACAGGTATCACTTAACACCTCTATAGCAGCTGAAGTATCACAATCAATTTAATATCAATCAATACGGATGGTTGCATAGATTAAAAATAATATTTGAAATAGATGCTGAGGATGGATAATCAACACACACATGCCACATATTGTTTACCTTGTTTGCAACACTATCCATTATTCCTTCAGAGTTGGGGTTGATGTTGATCAGAAGTAATCCGTCCACCATATCTGGATGATTCAGCTACACACACATATTGACACACTGAAGTTAACTCATTTATTTTTTTGCATACAATTATGAGAGTGCTTACAACATATTATCATGTTACTCATGGACTGACAGATCACCGTCTTGATTTCCACAGTCTTAGATTTTGATCAGTTTCTACCATGGATACAATCAGTCTATAGTCTTTAGTCCTCAGTCTTTGAGTCTCTAACAATAGCCATGCTATCCATAAAAAATCTCTTGGTAGGAAACATATCTAGAGACTTTTTATAGATAACATGGCTGTTAGTAGTTATCAGTGCCTTTTGATATAAGTGTTACCCCATGTGTGGGACTTATGAGACATATATAATTGTATCTGTGTAGCCTTTCATATTCATATGTGATCAGTAACACTGGCATAGATCTGATTTACGTATGACTGTGTATACAGGGAGGATTCACAACCAAATTAAGATCTGTACTGAGAAGAGTAAAGATTCAACTTTACATTTTGCACACTAGGAGACGGGGTGTGTCACTTTCTCAAGTTCAAATGGAATTTAGAGAAGAGATTTGAACTCACAGCAAATTGCGCCAGGATGTAGGCTCCTGCTCCAACTCCCAGTCCAATCACACTACGCAACCTGCAAAACACATAGCCAGAAGGTCAAAGGGCTAATCAGTCAAATGTCAGGGTTTAATTTAGAGGAGAGCCCAAACAAAAGTGTTTGGTAAATATCAGATAAACTTTGAGAGACTTTAAGGATTTCAGGTCCATCTTACCCAAAGTGTTTGAGGACAGCAGGCAGTGTTTCAGACAGCTGGTCCATGGAAGGGTAGGTATACCTGAGAGGTCAAAATAATTAAATAAAGTAAATTACAGCATTACAACGAGAGTACGGCTAAAAGGAGACAAAGGATTGAGGACAGTTCTCTTACGCAGTCGGGAGAGTTTTGGCTCCCTCATGTTGTCCTGGTGCTTCAACGTGACAAATAGTTAAATTTCTGAGGATTTCCTGCATGTCCACATGGTTGAACAGAGTCTCAAAACAGGTCTTGTCTACAAGAAGAGAAAACAAAAACAACATCATTGAACTATTAACACAGAGAATTAGATTTTGTTTGCAGTGACAAAAATGGAAAGTCACAAGAAGTAAGATGCACAAATACCACAGCGAATCTATTTTGATTTTGCTGATATACACACATCGGTGCCATAAGGGGTTTCACTGCTACTTTGGTAAGTTTTGGAAAATTATAGCCATATTGCGTCATATCTGTGTGCACACACTGTCACTAAGCATTATTGTGGGGTTAAGAGATGAGACTTACGGTTCAGTCCAACGTCATGAAAGGTCAGGATGACGGGGCGGTTTGCCTTTGGAGTCCCAGTCATGACGCAGTGGACGTTCCCAAACAGAGTCTCCACATGCTCCTCCTAAAACAAAAGCACAGATGCAGTCGCACATTCAGATTATCCACACATGCTACTGGTTTGTGTCGGCCATTGGCCCATCGTGTTTCTGTCCTTTAGATATAAATTTACACGTTGCTGAATAACACAAATTTGTAATATATCGAAGAGGACATTTGGTTTTTGGTATCACACAAAACCAATGATGTCATTTCGCTGTATCAGTGTATTACTGTATTAACACTAACTACCTTTTCTTAAGTATAAATGAAATGATGTACGAGTATAAATTGTTAATTTTTCAGATTATTTTAAATGCAAGAAACTGCTAGACAGGAGTTTGGGGGTACTGTGTTTCTCACTGAACAGTTGAAATGATTTTTTAAAGACAATTCTATGTCATATGTTTACTCTGAACTGATACCAGATCCCGATGTTAACAATATTAGATCCAACTGACTGACTAGTGCTCCCTATAGCCAGACAAAACCCCTTGAGTTACCCAGGTAATCATCAAGTAGGTATCCGAGCTGTAACAGTGAATCCAGCCTCAAGGTTAACTTAAGCTCTCAGTGATACTCACAGTGATTTGGGGCTCGAAGACGGAGTCACACTCGTTCTCCTCCAGGACCATGGCTGCTGATTCAGAGTAGACCGCAAAAGAAACAAGGGAGACGTGCAGGAGATGCAGAGCAGACGTCCGCTGTGTCGGGTGGATCTTTGATCCTTAACTTCCTTTTGATTCTTGAAGCAAATCAACTTTTCTTCTAGTTTGTATTTCCTGACATGCCAGTCCTGCAGTAAGAGACGACTTGCTGTAAAGTATGTGTGTGACTGACTATATGTTTGAGCTGGTTTTTATACCCTCTGACACTGATCTGTCTCTAAGCCCTAACTCCAAACTGGCTCACACATGGCCAACTGGCCTCTTCCTGTTTTAATCTGACCTCAGGCTGCTGCTTTCCCACAGAGACATCACTGGATTTCTACAGGGAATTAACCAGGATGAGTTTTCATGCACCTTAATACATTTTGAGAAAAATAACCAGATGTAATGACTCCAGCAATACTAGAGCTGTGATTAGGAAATGTGTATGTCTGCATTTATTAAACTTCTTTTAATATATTCTTGTGTCTTATGGATAAAAAACTGAAATGTATGGAAAGCAAACAAACTATTGTCATGTTGGAAAATAAATCTTATTAAATGTGTCCTGTAATAAGCTTGATAACTGGGAACTTAAGTAAAATTCATGAGTAAAGCTTGTTATGTTTTGCTGCAAGACATCAGGGGAATCAAAAACACCTTTAGCCATACCATGAGCAGGTCAGCTGTCTAATCTCAGCGAGCCATCTGTTCCTGTAGGAAAACATTCTGCTCCCTACAGTTCAGTGACCTTGACCCTCCTGATAACAAAGTATATTAACTTAATCTGGATAGCTTCCTTGAACTCTGTATGTCATCTAGTTCTCACACGGCACTACAGTTAAATGAACTCACGTGACTCATAAGTTTAGTCAACTCTGAAAAACCATAAACAAAACAAACAAATGTTGAAAACAGGTAAGTCAATGTTGACGGTGAAAAAGCCACGGTGACCTCTTTTCTATGAGTCAATGCAAGAGTTCGTCTGGGTACCACACTGTTTATTCACATCTTATTTCAGTTTTTTGAAGTAATGCTGGTAGACGTTAGAACGTTCTGCCCAACACTAGTCTTTGAAATGAAACAGATGTGATCCTTCTATGGAAATAAAAACGGATTAAAGGCGATGGTTGATTCATAGACAAACTCACCAGTTTATGTATTATATTTTTATAAAATTGGTAGAAATGAAGGTTGTGCGAATATGAGAAGCTCTTGCATGTGAATATATCACATTGATTGAACTGTCTGTCCAACACATAGACTGTTACACTTCCTCATTCGTCCTCATCAACATGTACAATAACAAACAAACAACATTCAGCATTTAAAAGACTCAGTCCTTTTACTGAAATTACTTTCAAACATTTTGGGGAGTTTCAGGTTAAACTTTCAGGGAAATCTAGTAATCACTTCACTGGACACTGTAGGTCGATTCTTGAAAAGAACAAAAACAACAAAGTGGCTTAGAGGGGCTATGGACCAGATGTTTCTTTTGCACTCTAATAGCTTTACGTAGAAGTCATACCCTTGTGTCAGCTTTAATATCTAAAGTCCTGACCAACAGCTGTTGTTTGAACAGGGTTTTTGAGTGTGAGAGGAAAGCCAGAATTCAGGATGTTATCATTTAGTTTCTGATTATTTTTGTTTAATTTGTTAAATCAGTTGACGTGTATTAAATTTGGTGCTTTTAAAAGTGGTAGACAGAAATTTTTACATCTACTAACTGCATTACAGTGGAGGTAATTTAATTGCACTTAAATGAAATGGTCTTTCCCCTCCACCACTGATTCCTTCACATTATGAGTAGCCGCCACTATCAGCTTGACACTGCAAATATGACAGTTATCATCGCTGACATACAGGATACTCCCTAGATCGATACATTAAAATGTGAATTAGGGGTCTAGACAGTAGCAGGTTAACTGCACAGCAGACAGTAACAGCTGCCTGAACGGAAACACAGCAGACTGCGCTGTGATCACCTTCTTTAAGATGTAATGCCACCACTGCCTCGATGAGAGCTCTGTGTGTGCAGCAGGTTTAATCCATTTAGTGGTGGCTGAAGCGCAGAGGACAGCAGATGGCTCTTACTCAGTCTCACGTCAGTCTGAAGTCATTTTTATCATACTAACCCTGACTAAGCTCTGCCCTGCTAGCCTATTTCACCATTGACTACTGTCCCACATTGTGCTGTGATTAGAAGCCAGTCAGGTGATCACTGTTTGATAAATGTGCCACTTTCTGCACAAAGACATTTTACAAAACTACATTACACTAAGTACTAAATAGCAATCTATGTTTTTTCTTGCTTCTATTTTGTGCTACAAATTATTATTATTGTTGTTGATGTTGTTGTTGTTGTTGTTGTTTTTATGTTTTGAGTTTCTGAATTTGTGAGTTTTTGACTATATATATTACAGTGTTAGTTCATCAGTTCATACTAAACACCGTGATACATAGACCTATACCTTTTGAATAGTATACTGCTCTGAAGTCACCCTTCATTAGGTGGGAAGCATCTAAGGCATATGTTGAGGGACAAATAACGAGGTGCTCTAATTAAGAAACCACAGTAAAGTGATAAAAAATGAAGAGGGGATTATAACACTTGAAAATGATGGTCATGTGAGCATGTGTATGAATCGTTTGTATGGTGTTCACATATGTTGAAAAACTATTTTCTTGGAAGTGAGGTCAGCTGTTTTCACTGCAGACATGTTGACACGTCACAGCAGGAAAGGCACAGGGGTTACTCTGTTTCAAGTGTCCCAGAGAGTGAGCTGGCAAGCACATTACCTAGATCCTGAAACTGAAGCAACTAAATGGAATCCAGCCATCATTAATTTTATTGTTTATGCCTGTGATTTTCCCACTGGCACGTATCCAAATGTCTCCTGTGAAAAAGATGTGTTGTACATGTCTTTAATTTGCACTAATTTCCTGATTCCACCAAAAATGTAAGTAGTAAACCTACGTTTTGTGTAACAAGTTTTGCCACTCAGGAGACTTACATGTCAGATGTCACCTGAACTCTTCTACTGTATCATATATTACACTACCAATTACTGTAAAAAAAAAAAAAGATATGTGCAAAGCGCATTTAACATTTGTGATAACAATTCAATCTAGTGGCCTGATTGAACTGAAAGTAAAGTTTTATAAACCTTGCAGTCATAAATTAGACATTTGAAGCTGCACTTAATCTGAAAGGTTAAAACACCTGTCAAAATATGTCTTTATTTCCTGTTGCTTAACGAGTAAATAGTTCATTTGGTTTGGAGAGGACATGTTGCCTTGCACGCACTGCACCCTTGTGTCATTTCCCAGTGGAGTCCACTAGATGGAGTTTTATGTCGACTTTCTGGATGCAGCTTGTCAACAGGCAACTTGACTGTCAGGATTTCATCACACTGCTTTGTTTGTCACCTAATGAACCCTTGTTTGACATTAATTTTGTTTAGTATTATATTTTTGCAACTAACTAAACTAGACTCTTTGCTAAATGTGTAACTTGAGCTTCAATCTCATAAGTTATTGCAAGACATTTCACATTCGTCAATATTCATACTTCGACACTGTTGAGATGAGCTAGAGACGGATAGACCTATTATTTAGATACATTTATTTGTGTGCTTTCACATATATAGCTTGAATTTTACATATAATTTGGCATGAAATATATCAAAATATTTACGGAAATCACTTGGAGTTTCTTTGTTTTGAGTTTTTTGTTATGAAATCCCATGTGGGTGTGGCTGATCCAAAACAGAAGGGATGGACGGTGAGATGGAAAGTGAGTTTGAAAGGCAGAGGACTCAGCATATGGTGAAGGGATCATTGAGTTACAAGTATTGATAATGTAACCTCTTATATAAGCACCTGCACATCTGTTATGAACATTCTGTGTTGTGGGTTTCTTCTGTAACAACAGCTTTCATGAGGGCATCTAACCCTGACTTTGTTTATTCTTCTTTTTGCTGCAATTCCTTCACTTCAGGGCACCAAGCTTACACATTCGTACACCCATGTATCATAGCTGATATAATAAAGCTATACTGTCATGCTCGCTCCTGGTTGTCATGGTAACTCTTCAGTCTGCAGGTGAAAGTCCTGCTGTCCGACTCTCAGCTTTCAAAACATTCTAATTATACACACAGCAGCTGCTGCCGCTTGCCACATGCTTGACTGTGTGTGTGTGTGTGTGTGTGTGTGCATGTGTGTGTGTGTGTGTGTGTGTGTGTGTGTGTGTGTGTGTGTGTGTGTGTGTGTGTGTGTGTTTGTGTGTGTGTATTTTCGTTGTTTGTGGGGTGTTTGTCAGTAGGTACGTTTAGGATTTTCTTCTGAGCCTCATTCTGTGTACGTGCATGTATGTGAGTTTTCCTGTAAGCATGTTTTTGAGGGTGTGTGCATGTTTATGTGCAAAAACACACAGGCCCTTTCCATGACTCCTTTTACAGTATGATTAGGTGTGAGGGTATGTGGTGATTTAGTTTAGGTCTAGGCTCAAGGAGGGAAGAAATAGAGAAGACAATTTTATCATAAACACTGTTCTGCTGCAGAGTTCAGACTTAAAAGTTTGATTGATTTAGACAGTTTTCTAATGTATGGGTCAAATCCAGGCCAACCAAAGAGAAACATATTTTTCTCTGTTTTATTTGAAATATTTTTATCTGCCCTAAAAGGTAAAACTATCCAGTTATTCACAAGTGAAGAAAAAAAAAGAAAAATATCAAACATTCTTTTTAATGTATTTAATTTCCTTATAATCTTTGTGATCATTTATTTATCTGAGTAACATAGTCACACTTGAAAATATTAGCACGGTTCAAAACGGGAAGCGCCTGAAAGGTCACCTGATGGACCACAGAGCTTGCTGCTGCTTCTCCTCCATCCAGTCCTGCCCAATGAAAAGCTTAGTTTTCCAGCATAGTGATGCACCTGTTGCTACATCACGTCCTCTAAACATCGGTATAAAACCAAAATCTGCCTTTGTGTGCTATTTAGCCACTGTTAACACTTATGGGTCATGTGTGAAACACTGAATGTCAGATTACTTGCCTGTTGTGAGTGACTATGTTTCCTTTTCATATCCAGTTTCTTCCTAGTTGCTCAGGGAATTACATAGTATTTCACACAGCTGCATGAGTGGTGTGCCTGAGGGACAGAAT